CACTACCACCACCATCACCACCACCATCATCATCACCACCAGCACCACCACTACCACCATCATCACCCCCATCATCCTCACCATCATCACCACCACTAGCACCATCATCACCACCATCATCCTCACCACTACCACCACCATCACCACCACCATCATCATCACCACCAGCACCACCACTACCACCATCATCACCCCCATCATCCTCACCATCATCACCACCACTAGCACCATCATCACCACCATCATCCTCACCACTACCACCACCATCACCACCACCATCATCATCACCACCAGCACCACCACTACCACCATCATCACCCCCATCATCCTCACCATCATCACCACCACTACCACCACCACCATCATCATCATCATCATCATCATCATCCCGTTCTTTTTGTCCTTAGCGCCTCAGAGGGGCAGACTATCAAATTACCATACTTTAAAATCTCTTTAGTTTCTTGTTTCTTCATATATGAATATGCTACCATATAGTGTTATATTCAATTTGAGTTTTCAGAAATTGCACTTCAAAGTTAACTATTCTTCTTAATTACGTAAAGTAATGATATAGCTCCTGAGTTAAATCTTTCTAAAATAATGTACACTGTCTTCTTTCTCACAGGTGATCCTCTCTGCTTCTGACTTACCTGGTCATTTATTGTTCATCTGAATGAGTGCCAACGCTTTAATATTAATTCAACTTTTTAAAGATTTATTTTTATTTTTTAATTATGTGTATGTGTGTTTGCGTGGGCACATGTGAGTGTAGGTGCCCTCAGAGGCCTAAAGAGAGCATCAGGTCCCCTGGACCTGGAGTTATAGACAATTATAAGCCACCTGATATGGGTGCTGGGAACCAAACCTGGGGCCCCTGCAAGAACGGCACATCTTGACTGCTAAAAGCCCTTCTCTCCAGCCCTTCCTTAGCTAGTTTCATACTTTGTCCCCTATTCTATACCTCGCTTGTATTCACTTAAGCAGTTCATTCTGAGGGATCCTCCATGGCATTATCTAGCATATTCCATGCTTTTGTTGGATCATGAACCTTCTTTTTGGTTGATTACCCAGATGCCTATCACTGAACATTTGGCCCTTTCCACTCATTTGTTATTACAAATAGCTCTACTGCCTTTAGCCCTGTACAATATACATGTTTATTCACATTCTCCCTCTCTCTCTCTCTCCCCCACCCCTTGCACATATGCATACACATGTGAAGGCCAGAGCTGACATGACATCAGGCGTCTCCTCTACCACTCTCCACTCTAGTTTTTGTGACAGTCTCTTACTGAACCTGTAGCCAGCCATTTCAGCTAAACTGTCTGGCCAGCAAGACCTAGGAATCAACCTGTCTCTGTCCTTGCCTGACACTGGGGTTATAGATGCATGCCACTATGTCCTACATTTTTATATGGCCTCTAGGAATCCAAACTCAGATCCTCACACTTGAGCGGCAAGCATTTACCCACTGAACCATCGTCTCCAAACTCCTTCACATTCTCACCAGTATGTCTTTGGGAGAGCCGTCTAGAGATGGAATCGCTATGCCGAAGAGTAAACGCACATGATTTTTGCTGTGTGTTACCAAATTCCTCTCCATATTTTGTGCCCTTTGCATTTCCTCCAGTGAGGTACAGGGCTGCTGAATTCTTACAGCTTTATGTGCCATCAAACTTCGGCTTTTGCCTAGTAGGTAGGTGAGAAGCGATGTCTCCTTGTAGCTTTAAGATGTATTTTTATGCCAGACGTGGTGGTGCACACCTTTAATCTCAGCACTCGAGAGGCAGAGACAGGTGGATCTTTGTCAGCTCGAGGCCAGCTTGATCTACATAGCAAGTTCCAGGCCAGCTGGGGCTACCGGGAAACCCTGTCTCAAAAAGAAAAAAAAAAGATGTATTTTTATCATTAAAACTAAAGTTGAACATTTTCTGGACTATTAAAGAGACATGGTATCTAGGACTCCTCCACTCTAGACCCCCTGCCAGTCATCCACCACCCTGGAACATGTAAACAACAGAATGCAGGACCGAAAGGAATAGAGAGGTCAGTTGACCATCACATGAGCACAAGAAATGATCAGCCAGATAAAGGTACAGTGGAGCAGAGATGGAAATGGAGCATCAAAGGAAGGAATCGAGTTCTCTCCTGGAGATTTTGGATAGGTCTCTGTTGATGTGGATGCAGCAGGTTGAAAGTACCAGGGCAGACAACAGTGACTGTGATCCGTGGCTTCCTAGAAATTGAACAACTCCTTCAGTGTCCAGTAACTAGAGAGGCTGGGACTGGGCTGAACTGGAGCCAAGACTCAGTACCTGCATAAGACCCCTGGACCATAGCAACAGGCACACACACACCCCTTTCTATTGTCTAACAGGTACATTGAAGGAGAAATGGTTCTGTGAGGTGATGGATGGGTTTTGAAAACCAGAGTTACAGAAATGATTATATGCGTGTGTGATTCGTTTCTCGGTGTTTGATATAGATGCTATATAATTACTTAGTTTCTCTAAGCCTCCACTCACAGAAAACAGGGCAATAATCCCCTTCTATAAATTGAGGATAACAAGATATGTCCCTTTTAGTGTTTTTCAGTTTTCACAAGGATAATCCACATTAAGCCCTGACACCTGGCAAGCTCTCGCTACCCTCGAGCTCATTTCTGTCTGTATGACTGTGGTTTCTGTGTGCTGCAGGGGAGTTTGGAGACAGAGGTCTTCGGGTTAAATCTCAACTCTGATTTTATTAGCTCAGAGTCCTTGATCTAGGGTCTTAACCTCCTTGACCTTGGTTCCCTTTTTTGTAAAATGGAAAGAATAACTTCATTAACATGCATTGGGATGGTAAAATAAAGCAACCAGCAGAGATGTCATCAGAAGGAGCTGACTCCTCGTCCTATGGTTATTCCCACTGTTATCTTCTTCGATAATTAAATGTTCTAATATGCTTAAAATTAAAAATTTAAAATGCCTGGACTGAGGATATAGCTCAGTTGGGAGAGTACTTGTGTTGCGTGAGCAAAACCTTGGATTCAGTCCCCAGCACTGCTTAGTGACACATGCCTGTAATCCCAGCACTCTGAAGATGGAGGCAGAATCAGAAGTTCAAAGTCATCCTCAGCTATATAGTGAGTTTGAGACTAGCCTGGCCTATGTGAGACTTGAAAGAAAAATGGGTCCATCTGACTAGATTTTACAAAGTCAATATCCTTGAGACCTCTGGAAGAATATGCAAAGAGAGAAGTGTGTGGTGGCCCCTTTACCTCCTTCTCCATCAATTCAGGAGGCTGCTGGCCTCTGGTAGCTGTGTAGTAGGAGGGTCTAGAAGAAGCAGAAGTTTTTTTCCGGCCAGGAGGCTGGCTGCTTAGCTTGTGATGCCTGCTTCCTGGCTGTCTTGCCTAAGTCCAAATCTAAGCTAGTTACTTAACCTCCATGAGCTTCAACTTCTATGAGGATCATAGCACCAGACTCACAGAGGTGAAGAATGAAAATGATCCATGTCTGTGTGCAAATGCCTGGCACACAGTGATCACTCAGCCAGTGTCAGTGGTGGTGACAGTGACAACAGCCTAGGTGAGGTGGGGACATCTTCATTCTCCTCATGAAACTTGGGCAAGTGTAGGTGAGCTGACTTAGACTATTAAGAAGCAACCCTGAGTTCCAACGGCCCCCAAACAGGATTTCAGATCACTCAAGCTACATGTCTGTATTAATTACTTTTCTCATTGCTGTGACGAAAGACCTGACAAACACAACTTAAGGAAGGAAGGGCTTATTTTGGCTCACAAAGGTACAGTCCGCTGTGACAGGAAAGTCATGGTGGCAGGAGCTCGAGGCAGCTGGTGTCATATCACATCCTCATTTAGGAAACAGGCAAGGTGAATGCTCCTGCTCAGCTCCCTTTCTCCTTTTTATTCAGTCTGTGACCCCAGCCCACGGAATGCTACCACACACATTTTGGGTGACTCTTCCAACATCAGCTAACCTAATGTACAAACTGTCTCACAGACATGCCCAGAGGTTTGTCTCCTAGGTGATTCTAGACCCATCAAGTTGACAATATATTAGTCATCACAATATTTCACTCCCCAGAGTTATTTAAAGGCTTAGATGGGTGGGGTTTCCATCTTGACACCAGCTTCCATAGTCACTGAAGCAGGGAGACAAAACTGTAAGCCGTACGCTGACTTTTAGCATTTCTACATGGTCATGTCAGGAATCACCCCTGTTCTTGTTCCATTGATCAAAGAATCCATGTGGCTTTGCCTGACTTCAAAAATCATAGACAAAGAAATCTACCATGTGCTGGAACAGCCCTGATGGCCATCACGCAAGCTAAGGCATGGTGTCAGAAAGAGGGAACATTAGAAAGGAGCCCAAGGGAGAGGGGATGACATGCTTCATGAGACCAGAGCCAAACTAGGCCGTGTCTTGCAGACTGCCACAGGCTGTATTTGTCCATCCTTTTAACCATTCACCCAGTAACTACAGAGGGGCAGTTGTGTGTGAGGGACAGTTGTATGTCAAGCGCTATGCTAAATACTGGAGATCCCAGTTGGAGAAGACAAATAACATGATATTCACAGTGGAGCAGGATGTATCACTGCCCTGAGCTAACCTTGAGCCTGACCATTCACCCTGCATTGTAGATGGGAAGGAGTGGGCTGGGCTGATGCCTCTGCCTCAGGCCTGAGAATTGAGTAAGGAACAAAGAAAAAGCCAGTGTGACCCAAATATTAGCTTGACTTCAGCTCTGCTGGAATGACAAAAAGTCTTTGTTGAAAGGAATCTTTTCACTTCTTGCCTTTGGCCTTTAATAAACCTCCAAATGATGTAACCGGTCATATCTGTGAGGGTCCCAATAAACAAAGCTCACAGTTAAGAGTTTATGTAACAACAACAACAACAAAATGTTCTGTTGGCTGACACATTTTGTAGAGAGGATTTTGTTTATTCATTCATGTGTCCCTCAATAAATCCTCTTCTCTCCCTGTTTCCCAGCTCCCTGTGGTGGACACCTGACTTCACCTAGCGGTACCATCCTGTCTCCAGGCTGGCCTGGCTTCTACAAGGATGCCCTGAGCTGTGCCTGGGTGATCGAAGCCCAGCCTGGATACCCCATCAAAATCACTTTTGACAGGTGCTGCTGGCCACAGCCACAGGAGGGGGTGCAACAGGGTGATGTCTACATCATGGGAGAGAATCATAGTGGGCAGGGGAATGGCACTGATGCGCAAACATCCACAGAGTAGAGAACACAGGACTGACTGTCCTGGGTGGGGACAGTGCACTGACTTTGCCTTTGGGCTTGGTTGATGCTATTGGAAGTCCGTGGCTCAAGAGAGAAAGGAGGGTGGGCTATCACTTGGGGTCCCAGAACCCTTCCCTTTGCTATCTCTTAAGAAAAAAGAGAGCAGATAGACACTATAAGATATTGAAGCCATGTGGCACCTGAGGGCCAAAACCCACACGTTCCCAGCACAAGAAGGTAGGCTCTCTGACTCCTGTCCCAGATCCTGCTTGTGTGCCCCACTGGTACTCCCACTCTGATAAGCCCCTGGATGGGAGAGTAGCCTCCCAAATAGAAACCCAGGCTTCCTCTAGACTGAATCTGTGATCAAACTTTTCTGTGAGGGCCCACGTAGGAAACACATTTCATGGAGCACTTGCGCTCTTGTGGGCTTCTGTTGCGTATTCTTTATCACATTTTATTTTTGACATCTGTTTACAAGTGTAAAGATTATTATTAGTTCTCCAAGCCAAAGACCTGCTGATCCTGGGGTTTTAGTTTATAGACCCCTGGCCTAAAACATTCTGACTCCCATGAGGTTGGATCTTAAGGTAGGCTCTGACCCAGGACATAGAGAGCTGTGTCCTAGAGTGGAAGAACAGGGTTAAATACAGTAGCAGACGTCCTACCACATGAATATATGCAAATTATATTAAAATATCCCAGCCTGCTGAAATCTGGTTGTCTGGAGCCCTAGTTCAGGAAGGACAAAACAGTAAACTTCGGGTTTCTCAACTGGTTTACATCACTTGGTAGGTTTAAAACTGAGGTCAACTATGACACCCTGGAAGTGAGAGATGGACGGACATACTCGGCACCTTTGATTGGAGTTTACCACGGAACCCAGGTCCCGCAGTTCCTTATCAGCACCAGCAACTACCTCTACCTCCTCTTCTCTACTGATAAGAGTCACTCAGACATCGGCTTCCAGCTCCGCTATGAGAGTGAGTCTCAGCAGGTTGATATGCAGGGAGATGGACACCCAGGTTGGCCTGGGTGGGTGGATGTGCCCAGACAGTGCTCTACTGTAGACCCAGTGGATCCTCACTCTCAGATGATAGGAGCTAAGTTGCTCATGACCCTCAGGCTGATCCTGTATGTACACTTCACAACTTCCACTGTCTGAAGCTAGCTGAGTACTGCCAGGCTGAGCACTCTGGGACGGAGTGTTTGACTGACCATAACTTGAAGTGAAATGGCATCTCCTACCCACACCTGCACTCTGGGATGGAGTGTTTGACTGACCATAACTTGAAGTGAAATGGCATCTCCTACCCACACCTGCCCTTTTTCAGGATCTTCATTCATCCCTTTGATTTAGAAGACTGTCACGTCAGTGCTTTCCAGACCAAAATAGAAAGTGTCGCAGGTTGAGAACATCATGAGGACAGAGTCATTTGCTTACTCATGCTTGTGTCACTGAACCTTGATATAGTGCCTAAGCCCTAGTGGACACCCCAGTAAGCATGTGCTGAATGAGTGAACCAGCAAACAAAGGTTCAAGCCAGCCGATTTGAGAGCCAGGTCTTCAAAAACCCTCTGTGAATACCATGGCCACATTTCATGAACCTTTGAAAATTAAGGCCTTCTGTCCTCCATCCTGGGCCCCTCCATGGTTGACAGCACCTGCTGTATGTTCCAGCTCTACCTTCTCTTTTCCAGCTATCACACTGCAGTCAGATCACTGTCTGGATCCAGGGATTCCCGTCAATGGACAGCGTCATGGGAATGACTTCTATGTGGGCGCTCTGGTGACATTCAGCTGTGACTCAGGCTACACCTTAAGTGATGGAGAGCCCCTGGAGTGTGAGCCCAATTTCCAGTGGAGCCGGGCCCTACCCAGCTGTGAAGGTGAGGCACACCATCAGTAGGTGCTGAAGAGAGTATTCCTTCCCTGCCCTGATAAACCTGAAGCTGGGAACAGTCATTGACTCCTGACAGTCAGTGGGGTCTGTTAGTTTTGGGAAGGGATGAGTCATAAGGGTCCAAGTAGGATGGGATGGGGGTCCCTGAGCTACTCTGGACCTTGTCTGTCCTCTTCACTTCTGCAGCTCTCTGTGGTGGCTTCATTCAAGGCTCCAGTGGCACCATCTTGTCACCAGGGTTCCCTGACTTCTACCCCAACAACTTGAACTGCACCTGGATTATTGAGACATCGCATGGCAAGGGTGAGTGTTTAGGCCCAAGGCAGGTGTTGACTCCAAGGCCAAGACTCCAGGTTCCCAGGTGGGGGTCAGGGCAACCTCAGTGAAGATTTCACTACATAATGACATGTAAGCTTAGTCTGAATTTTTCTCACCAGTAAGAGAACTTATCTCGAGGTATCACAGAAGTCACTCGGTAAATACTGTTGAGAATCCAACCTCCCCATGCTAAAAGAAATCTCACTGGTCACCAGCCATCAAATCCCATTCAGAGTACCTCCCATAGGATGGCAGTACACCTTCAGTGATGGAGAGATGGTCATCCTATTCCACAAATGGGCCGCTAGTATCTTATTTGGGTTGGTAGTGCTAGGAATTGAACCTTGAACCTCATGCATGCTTGGTAAACCCTCTACCACTGAGCTATATTCCCAGCCCTCTTTTTACTTTTTATTTTGAAGCAGGACTTTGCTAAGTTGCCCAGGCTGGCCTTGAACTCACAATGTAGCTCAGGCAGTCCTTGACCTTGTGATCCTCCTGCCTCAACCTCCTGTGCCACCAGATCTGCTATCATTTTTTGGTAAACCTGTTCTCTCCTAATAATCTGTTAGGTGTCCCTGAACCCTTCGTCCTTGTCCTGTGTGCTGAAGGAACTCAGGGCACTTATGGTCCGTTTTCCACACATCCATCCTTCAGATTCTGAGCACGACAGCCCCATCTCACAAAGCTCTCCTCTTCCCAAGGGGACATGCATTCACCTGCCTCACCAGCCTGCACTGCTGCCTCCCCTTTCCTAACAAAAATGGTCCAGTTCAAAGTAAGGTGCTAGTTACAAATCAGTTAATCCACTCCTTCTTCTGACAAATGTTCATCAAACACCACCCATGTGGCAGACACTGGAGCTGGAGATCAGCAGGAAGCTGGCAGTTATAGCCTCTACCTGCACATGCTTATTCCAACAGTCATATTCTGGAACCCTGGCTTCTCCTCTGAAGTTTAAGTTCATCAAGGACACTAGGACCCAGGCCCTACCCCACAAGTCTGGATTTTCTACATTGGGGTGGAAACCAGGGACCTATGTTTGACAACATGTCACCAATAATTGTGATGCATGCCTTTAATTAAGAACCTCTGATCCAGAAGAATTAGCATGCAGGGGAGCCCAGGGAAAAACTGAAACAGAAAAATAATCCTCTCAGATACCCAAATGTTGTTATGAGCTAACAGTGTGGAGGGAGTCCAGGAGTGGGCAATCCATGTCAGCGGGGGATAGTACAGGTCCAGAAGTAGATGCCTCTGTGTGCACATGTGTTTATATACCTGTGCACACAGGACAGATAGACTATAATACATAACTAAAGTGTCATTTCAGATCCACTGAAGGGGTGGACTGTCTAATAAACAGAGTTTATAAATGGTGGTTACAGAGCTAGAAAGATAGCTCAGTTGGTGAATTGCTTGCCTTGCAAGTATGAGGACCTGAGTTCATCCCCAGCACCCAGGTGAAAAGCCGGGCATGGTGGCACATCCTTGCAATCCCAAAGCTGGGAAAGCAGAGGCAGGAGGGTCCCTGAGACTCGCTTGTCAGTCAGCCTAGACTTAATCTGTGAGCCCCAGCTCCAAGTGAGAGACTATCTCCAAAAACAAGCTTCTGAAGAGCAACACTGCAGATGACCTCTGGTCTCCATGTGCACATGCACCCCATACACACATCTGCACACACACACATACACACACACACGCACACATACACACACACACACAAACTTCAGTGAGTTTAGCCATTTGAAAAGAAAATTTAAAAGTTCCATCTATACCTCACACCCTGCGGACAGTCTAGCCTCTGGTACAGATGCACCTTTAACCACATCAATTTCAGCAGAGTCACGGACAGTCTAGCCTCTGGTACAGATGCACCTTTAAGAGTGATACCAAAAGCAGAATCCATGAAAGCAAAGGCTACTAAATTCAATTAAAGCAAAAAATCTGATAGGATTTACTTTTTAAAAAATCCTCTGTGAAATGCAAGTCAATAAATAAATAGATAAAAAATGTGTCAATAATAAATAGATTAAAAAATGTGATGTACATGATTGACTAAGGATTACCAACCTGATGTGTGAAGAGCTCTTAAACTGTGTAAGAGAAATCTTCCTGGTCCATCAGCCTGAAAAATAAACAGAACTATAAACTAACGCTTCATAATTGAAATACAAATTGAGAAACAGCAGCCCCACTAATAATTAAAGAGATGCAATTTCAGCCAGTAATGAAACACAGTTTGCCTTTCCATGTCATGTAAGAACATCATAATGTGGGGGTGTAGTGCAGACGCATGGTTAAGCCTCACTGCTGACCAGTGTGGACAAGCCTGGGCTTCTCCGAAGGGTGATGTGCAGATGGGAATCAAAAGCCTTCTGAGTCCATGGCCTCTGGGCCCAGCAGTTTTCAGTTACTGGAATTTCTCTGAAGACAAGCAGAAAAACTGTATATTATGATGTAGCCATCAGGTTGTCTTCCTGAAACACTTTATTATGTTGCAAAGTTAGGAACTAGGAGCTGGGGGGATGGCTCAGTCAATAAAGCGCTTGCCATGGTCCTGAGATCGGACCCCCAGCACCCATGTAAAAAGCAAGGCACAGCAGCACACATCTGTAACTTCAGCTCTGGCAAGGCACACACAGGAGGCTCCCTGGGGCTTGCGAGGGAACTGCTCTAGCCAAATCAGTAAGCTCCAGATTCAATGAGAGACCCTGACTCAAAAAATAAGGTGGAGAGGGGCTAGAGAGGTGGCTCAGAGGGTGAAAGTCTATACGGCTCTTGTGGAGGATCTGAGTTCAGTTCCCAGCACCCAGGCAAGGCAGCTCACAGCTGCTCCAGGGGATCCAACATTCTTTCCTGGACTCTTTGGGTACCCTCACTCACATGCATACATGCACACACGCATACACACACACACACACACACACAATTTTTAAAATATAAGAAATATAAATCTTAAAAATGAGGTGGAAGACAGAGGAAGACACCCAATGTTGATCTCTGGTTTCCACACACACGCACACACACAAATTTGTACACACATATACACACACAAAATAAGTAAATTAGCACGACCACATAATGAAATACTAGGTAGCTAGAGAAGGTGGTGAGAAGTGCGGGCAGCTGACCCCATACCCTTCTCCTGGGCACTGCTCCTAAGACTGCCTCAGGCTAAGAAGCTCTTAGCCTGCTCACTTGGGTTGCTTCCAAACAAACAGAAGACCAGCCAGGGAAACTTGAACTTTATTCAGAACTGCCCAGCTGCCATCTGGCAATATTACTGGAGTTAGGGTCAGAGCCTGGGCCCAGGAAGTCTTAACAAGCCAGGATGGGCCACCCGTCCTCAATAGGCCAATTAAGAGAACAACGTAATATGAAAAGCAAAAAACTAAATTAAATTTCAAGGTTTATTCAATATAGACACATTGAGAAGAAGAAAAAGAGGTTCCCACCCCAAGTCCATCTTTGGAGTTTTAACATGAGGCTTAGGTTTAAACAGATGGCAAGGGTTATGCTTAGATGGCAAGGGTTATGCATAGCTAAGCAGTCCTGGGCCCTGTGTGGTCTCACCCTTCCTCCACATCTCAGTGCCAGTCTCTCCAGGGTGGTCTGACAAGTTATCAAACTGTGTGAGCCCGTTTTCCTGGAAACAAGTTCTTGCTCTGGTCTGTTCCTCTGGCCCTAGTCTATTCCTTCTGCCAGTATGAGATTCCAGGGGAAATTCCAGTTCCTTCCGGTGCCACTGGCTGATAGCCAGAATGTCTTCATTCCTGCCAGGAAGTGAGCACTGCAGGGGTTCAGAGAATATGAGCTGGCAGAGACCTCGATGCTACTGGAGAAATTAGGGTTCCCTCTTTTGGTCTCTTAGTCTCATTAATAAAAGAATTTAAGAACAGACTGGGACGGAAACGAGAACAATTTTGTTAAAGTTCTAGGGCAAAACAACAGGACACACAAGCAAAAAATCCTGGCAGCTTCCAGGAGGAGGAGAAACCCCAGAGTATGAGAGAAAGCCTGCTTAGGAGTGCTGAGCTGCAGATCTGAGTTCACAGGGTACTAGATCCCAGACTCATGTGTCCCAGGACAAAGGACTACACTAGGGACACAAGGTTAGAACTATAAATAGAGACAGCGTGTTAAGAAAGGAAAAGCAGCCTGACACGGTGGCGCACGCCTTTAGTCCCAGCCCTTAGGAGGAGGCAGAGGCAGGCCAATCTCTGTGAGATAGAGGCCATCCTGGTCTCCATAGCCAGTCTTCCACACCAGCTGGAAGGCTACATGGAGACCATGTCCCAAAAAGACAAAAATGAAAAAGAAAGGAAAAGCCCTCACTCCTGAGGATGGGGTGGCTAGTGAGCTGAGGACAGTCTAAAAATCATCAGGCCTGCAGTGCATGGCCTTTCATGAGACCTCTCCCATTTGTATCTGTGGGCCCTCCCCAGCTCCCCCACCATCCCTGAGCATGCGCTGTTCTTTAGATGAAGCCCAGCTGAGGAAGGGCTTCCGGTCTAACCCTGTCAGCTGGCTTCTTTCATGTGTTAGTCTTGGTGTTTTCCGGTTTTCAGTTGCTATTCTCTCACACAACAGTACTGACCTCTCCTAACCAACATGGCCATCTGGGGATCAGGTGATCTGAGCTGAGATCACCTGTGGCACCAGGCACACTTTGCCCTTCCAGTTCTGCCTCGCTTTAAGAACTGAATGCCACCAGGGAGGGGTCTCTGTCATCCACCTACCACAGCTGAGGAAAGGAACACTCAGAGGGGCCCACGTAGCTCTGGTCACTGTCCTAACTCTGGGGGACAGGCATGTGACCCCTGCACCTTCTGCCCTGTGTAGTATGGATGTCACAGCTCACTCCGGGGTATGCATCTGTCACACCAAATTGGATTCAGACTCCTACTTGGAGCCTCTATAGTTCTGTGACAATATCTTCATTTTCTCACAGTGGCCCAAAAAACCCCTAAGCAGTCCGCACATCTGGGAAACCCAAGGGGTTCTGCTGGGTTGTTTGCTCATCCTTAGAATCCCAAGCAAATGTTTACTCCTGGGGCGGGGCTGTGCCTGTGTGCTTGGAGGAACAGAGCATGGGCTGATGCTTAATCAACTTGTTTCTGCCTGTTAGTGTGTCTAACTGGCTCACCATCCTCACCCAGTGTCCCAGCAAAGGGAGAAGGACTTGGAGTCCCAAACTCTCCAGACCGAGGAGTGTCCTCAACTGTAAGCATGCTGTCAAGAGGATAATATACCTACAGGCACATACATGTACACAGGCACACATGCCCATATGTCCCCTCCATGAGTGCTCATGTGTCTTTACCGAGGGCCATGCCTTCCCCGAGCAGTGAATCCCTCCCATCTTCTCCATGAAGGCCCCCAGACATGGCTGCCCACTGTTCTACCTGCCCCAATGAGATTCTCACTATTGCTGTGTCTGACTCCTTCTCTATGCCAGGAGATCTTTCTCAGCATGAAGCACTAAGCACTAGACACTAGGCACTAAGCCCAGCATTAGGCAGGGACCTAGGACCTGTATCCTTGAACAAATTGATACTTGGACACATCTTAGTTGCCTGGACACAGGGCATTTACAAACCACCACTCTCATCCCATCACCTCTGCTGGTTTCCATCTTCCCAACTCTCACCCACAGCAGTCCAGATACTCTGGGATTCTCAGCTTCTAGCAACAGGGAAGTGAGAACACGGAAGCTTTTTCAAATGCTTTAGTATTGGAGGCTTGGATCCAGCCATCGTTCATCAAAAGAATATCATTACACAGAGGCAAGTAGCTTTTCTGGGTATCTGCATGTCAGCAGGACCCACTCAGCATGCAGACTGTTGCACAGTAGGTCTGCAGGAAGGCCCTCACTCTGCGTTTCTCACAGCTCCTGGCGGATGCCCACACTGCAGGCCCACGGACCATACTTTAAGTAGTCAACAGACCCTGCCCCCATCACACTGCCCCTATGAACACACTGACTGGTGTGTATTGACATATAGGTCCACAAGAACACAGCTGAGGTTTGGACAAGTTCAAGAGCTGCTCTGGAAGTTAAGAGCCTTCTGTTCTGTCACCTTCCTCCCCACCTTCCATCCTCCCACCTGCTCTCTTTCTGTAGACTGAGACTGTATCCCAGAGTGGGGGACAGCACCACCTCTGCAGTCAGGTGGCCCCTATTCATCTCTGTAGCAACAGGGAGGTAAGAACATGGAAGCTTTTTCAAATGCTTTAGTATTGGAGGCTTGGATCCAGCCATCGTTCATCAAAAGAATATCATTACACAGAGGCAAGTAGCTTTTCTGGGTATCTGCATGTCAGCAGGACCCACTCAGCATGCAGACTGTTGCACAGTAGGTCTGCAGGAAGGCCCTCACTCTGCGTTTCTCACAGCTCCTGGCGGATGCCCACACTGCAGGCCCACGGACCATACTTTGAGTAGCCAACAGACCCTGCCCCCATCACACTGCCCCTATGAACACACTGACTGGTGTGCATTGACATATAGGTCCACAAGAACACAACTGAGGTTTGGACAAGTTCAAGAGCTGCTCTGGGAGTTAAGAGCCTTCTGTTCTGTCACCTTCCTCCCCACCTTCCATCCTCCCATCTGCTCTCTTTCTGTAGACTGAGACTGTATCCCATAGTGGGGGACAGCACCACCTCTGCAGTCAGGTGGCCCCTATTCATCTCTGCCATCCACTAGGAGGGCCTCGGACAAAGGACCTCCTCTCTTTTGTACCTTGTTTTCCTGGTGTATAAAATGGAGACGGTGCTGACGGCACCCACGTGTGCTGGTGACTGTTAGATTTAGATGAGCTCCCTTCCCAGCTAGGAAGTGCCAGCCAAGATCAAGTAAAAATAGGATGACTGCACTAAGGACTTAGTGTTGCCTAAAGAATATTAGTGCTTTTATTTTGTTTCACACTCAACTCTCCTTCCCACCCCCGGCCCTTGGTAGGTGCCAAAGGGCATGCGTCCTTGCGAAAACAGCCATCCAGACTCATCTCTGCTGTTTTCCACTGGACACTCACGCGCCTTCTTTCTGCTCCCCAGTTCTCCTTGCTGCCTTCCTTCTCCTCTGTTTCACGTCACTTCTCCCCAACTTCCATTTCCCCTTTCTGAACTGCAAACTCTCCTGAACCATCTAGTCCAAGCTCGGGGCTTCAAGCATCACCTTCTGCTAGTGACTCTCAGATCCACCTGTGAAGTCCCACCTGAATCCTCAACTCCCACGTCTTCGCCACGTCTTCCTCTTGCTGACCATCTGCAGCTTAGATGCCACATAGACTGAGTTCAAGGTCAAATTCAGTGTTTCTACCACTGATCCTGCCAAGCATCTTCGGATTGAGCATTCCCAGCCGTGTTCTGTTTCCTCTTTTGCGTTGTGCCTGCCATTGCTGTGCATCCATCTGCCTGGGGTCTCTTATTCACCACCTGCTCTTACTCCTCCTTCCAAGCCCCACCTACCCTGGTCCAGCACAAGCAACAGTGTCTCTAACTCACCACTCTGCCCCCCCACCCCCACCCATTCTGTCCTCTTCGTGGCTGGAGTCAAATATGTTCCATGCTGGGTGGGATGGCTTCTCAATGCCTCCAGGAAAGTGCCAGGTCCATCCCCAGCCTCAGACCCAGGTACCTCCCCTGAGAGTGCCCAGCCACACCCTGCTGGCCATGGAGTCCTAGACACCACATTTGCCCTATCTCCAGACACAAACTGATTCTCTGCCAGGAACAGACTTCCTTATCTCAACCTGTCTAACTACCATGCATCCTTCCAAGATTCAAATCAAATATTCACTCCTTTGCAGAGCTGTCCCCCACACCTCTCTTCCTGATATTATTATTTGTGCATACGTGCGTGCATGCATGTGTGTGTGTGTGTTCATGTGGGTGTTCACCGGTATGCATGCATGTGGAGGTCAGAGGACAACCTCAGGTGCTGTCCCTCATGGGTCAACCATCTTGCTTTTTGAGACAGGGGTTTCTCACTGGTCCGGGGTTCACTGATTAAGTTAGACTGGTTGGCTAGTGAGGCCCTGGGATCAGCCTGTTCCTGCCTCCCCAACCACGGGATTACAAGTATGAACAATCATACGTGACTTTCTCCCATGGATTCTAAGGACTGAACTCAGGTACCTCACCCAGGATCCTAACCCATAGTCAGGATTCCATGAAGATGTGTGTGTGTGTGTGTGTGTGTGTGTGTGTGTGTGTATTGGGAATGAATCTGTGACTGGAAGCACGGTCATAGACTTGCCACAGGAAGGAGGTGCCTGGTCTCCCTGATTGGGTCTTGGGTAATGGGGAGTTCATGTTCAGATCACCTTTGTGCTAACCCAGCACACACCCACAGTCAGCGCACACCCTCAGTCATGCTTGTGCCCAGGCATCTCCCCAGCCCAGCCCCACCCTCTGCTCCCTCTGCAGGTGTGTTCTTTACTTTCCACACCTTCCACCTGGAGAGCGGCCATGACTACCTTCTCATCACCGAGAACGGCAGCTTCTCCCAGCCCCTGAGGCAGCTGACCGGCTCGCGGCTGCCAGCACCCATCAGTGCCGGGCTCTATGGCAACTTCACCGCTCAGGTCCGCTTCATCTCTGATTTCTCCATGTCCTATGAAGGATTCAACATCACCTTCTCAGGTAACCAGTATGACCATCTCAGGGGATAAAGGACTGGGGAACCATTCTCTCTCTCCCTCCCTCTGATACAATCCTTCAGTCTCAGGGAGAATGACTAGATACCAGACACTTTGTGTAGACACAAGAAGAATTTCCCTGGAATGGTCTCAGAGTGGGCTAGCAGAACCATTCCCTGACTCAGGATGCACTCTGAACATGATGCACCTAGCTGGTGAAAACAGAGCTTCACAAAAGTCCTTTCCTGCCCTACTTGCTCCAAATTCTCTTGAAGATCGACTTCCACAATTTCACACCCCCACCAATTACAGAGAGAATGAGTTTGAAGTTAATGTAGCACAGTGTTTCAGTCCCGTTTGAGATCTTCGTCAATGCTAATTTCGTAGTAACAGATACTTATCTTAGTTTTAGGAAAGCTCTCTGGTGGCATGCAGGCGGAAGAGGGCTTCGCTCCTCTGTGACCCTGCACTCACCACCCTCAAGGTGCTCCAAAACCCCATCCCAGATGGATAGGAGGTACCCAGCCTCCAGGAACTGGAATATGGCTCAGCTTAGCCTCTTGCTGCCCTCCACACAGAATCCCCCTGACACCTGCTTTGGCCTGGACAGTGGGACTCTCTGAGAGATACTTCCTCCCTACCACACAGAGCCCTAGGGCCCAGGAGGCAGTCCCTTCCACACGGTCACTAAAGGCAGCAGGCAGGTCCTTGGCTGGTCAGTGACATCCACCTGGCTTGCCACCTGTTTCAAAGCCAGCCTTGCTGAGAGGAAGAAGCTTCCAGAGAAGCATTTGGAGTCAGAGCCCCAGTGAGAGTTGCCCAAGGCTGGGTCACAGACTCTGACCCTCTGGAAATGGCTGATTGCATTGAGCTGGCTCATGCCCAGAGAGAAAGTTCTCCAGTTCGCATCTGCCAGCCATGGGGCCCAGGCTTCAAATGGAACAGAAGGGACAGGAGAGAAGAGTGGACTCTGAGAGTCCTCTGGGGAGCATGTCTCATGGACACTGAGCCCATTATGAGGCATTGCTCTTTTCTAGGCATCTGTTAAGGGCCATGGTCTCCATATCTGTCTGTCCTGTCTCTGGCCCTATCCCCCACACTTTGGCCCTCCTCTGGCACTTTGGCCCTCCCCAGCTGTCTGAGCCCACCTCTCCTACTGACTTCCTTCACAGAGTACAACTTGGAACCCTGTGAGGAGCCCGAGGTCCCCGCCTATAGCATCCGGAAAGGCTTACAGTTTGGCGTAGGCGACACCTTAACCTTCTCCTGCTTCCCCGGGTACCGGCTGGAGGGCACGGCCCGCATCACGTGCCTGGGGGGCAGACGGCGCCTGTGGAGCTCGCCTCTGCCAAGGTGTGTTGGTAGGTGGTCACGTGCTTTCATTCTGCTTCACTTAATGGGGTGGGCCAAATTTAGTGCAGCGGTGTGAGGTGGTGGGCTGCATCCAGCCAGGATACAAACGGGCCTGGGTTTAAGGATCAACGTAGCTCACGCTTACCTGCGGAGGGACCGTGGGGGAGATGGCCTTGCCTCCTCCTCTGTGAGATACAGAGGGAACTGCTCTGGGAACTGACCTGCCTTTGTCTAGTAGCCCTAGTAGGCTCTGGAGTTCAGTTGACCACAGTGCTCTCAGCTCCCAGCCTTAACACACATGCCTTGGCTTAAGCAAGGACACCTCGTGTGGAGCACAGTGGCCGGACCCACAGCAAGGAGGTGTAACCTTTACCCAAGGAACCCCAAGCCATCCCCACAGAGGTTGCCTGCTCTTGGAAAATCCCTAGGTAGACCCTCCACCCACCCAAGGAAGAAGAGGGCCAGGAGCTAGGATCATTTATTTTAG